TATGGTGGCGGCGACAGTGGTGATGATGGTCATGGTGGTGATGCAGTGGTAGAGGTCGTGGTAATGGTGATGTCACGGTGATGTGACGGTGTGACGAATGAGTAGGCGGATGGGGAAGGGCAAGGAGAAGCCACCAGGTGCATCTATGAGTGACCGCACGTGTGACCCTGCTGATCACAGCCGGACTTAGATAAACTCACCTACGTAATGAGTATTTCTCCAGGACTCACCAAGTGCCGAAGGATGTTCTAGGACTTTTTCCTACAGGGAGGCTCTCACGTGTGCACAGTAGTTCAAGTGTGAGGCTATTCTCTGCGGCCTTGACAGAATAGCAGAACTGGCCCCAGCACCCATCGGCAGGAACACGGGGGAGGCACGGAGGACCTTTCCCCGAACTCCACGCTGGAGGCTCCCGCGCCGTTTCTTCCCACGTCCCCTTCCGTCCGGCATGGGCCGCCCCCCTGGGGCAGTGACAGAGGGTCTGTCCGAGAAGAGGGTCCCCCACTCTCTGCGGTCTCTGAGGCACGTGGCAGGAGCCCAGCACCTGTGTGAGTGTGTGTGTTCAGAGGCGGGAGAACGAGGCTGAGGAGACAGCCAGCAGGCAAGTCTTGGGCTCTGGGGCCACGGGATGCCTGGCTCTGTTCCCGGGGTCACCCCAGACCCGCTGTGTGTCCTCAAGGACGTGCCTGACCCTCGCGGAGCCTCCAGGGTCTCCCTATGGAAACAGGCCGTGAGTGTCTTCCTCATGAGCTGTTAGGATGAAAGGGACATAGTCACGCGACGTAAGATAGGATGCTTGATGTATGAGGCTAATGTATATGATAATCTTACTCTTCGGGACTGTCCCCGATACTGTCGCAGATTCCCAGGGGACAGGGGTGTTTGCACCCCCCACACACCTGCCAGCTCAGTATCAGGTGCTCCCTTGGCACTCATCCCCCTGCCTCAGGTTGTCAGCAGGTCGGAGCAAGACCAGGGCGGACACCCTGGGAAGAAGCCTCTGCGAGAGGGGCGCTCCTGCGGCGCCATGTCCCCGTGCCCCGGGTCAGCCTCTGGCACTGGCTTAATTAGTAACTGAAGGTCAAGAGGGCCCGCCACCCGTAGGCTCTGTGTTTAGGCCCCCAGCTGGCTCTCACCCAAGCAGAATGAAAGATGCAGTTCTCCAGACCCGAGGAAGTTCATTCCGGGGAAGCTGACGCGAAGACAGGTGGAGGTGTCGGGCCTGCGAGAAGCCAGCCCCGCCGCACGTGCAGAGAGCCCCCCTCGGGGCCAGTGCGGGGGTCCCTCCTGCGCCGTGCCGGGCGCTCGAGCTGTTTGGCTCCAGCCAAGTGCTGTCAGTAAGGACAGAGTCTGGGTTGCTGGCTTGTTCAAGAAAGACTCAACGTGGAGCGCTGATGTCTCGTCCGGTGTCCTCTCCAACCCTGTGCGGCCCACATGGAGCATTGCAGGCCGGACTGAGCTGACAGGTCACCGTCTTGTGGCCCCGTCCCGCGACAGGCTCTGAGATGGGTGCCCCTGACTATGGAGGCCAGCGGGGGGGCGAGACCCGCGAAGGCCTCCATTTCAAGTCAATGAATCCATTGATACCTGTGGTGCTTGCCGTGCCCGTGAGTGTGTGTGTGCGTGCACGCATGCACACGCACCTGGGGGTCCCGTCGAAGGACCCTGCAGAGCTGGTCAGTGACCCCCCAGGGGAGGGACTCAGGGAGGAAATCGCCTCAGGGCCCGACACCTCTGTACGTCTGAGGTGTTCTTTTCTGGGAATTCTAACCCAAATCGAAGCTCTCAGCTTCACAGAGTTCAGCTACTTGCCCTGCAGAGCCTCAGCGTGTTCCGTCGACCGCCTGGTTCCCTCCCGAGCTGGGCGCCAGCACACCACCACCCGATTGCTCATCCGCCAGAGACTCCTGAGCCGAGCTGCGATGACGGGCCCGGGGAGGGTGGCGATCGGGGCGGGCAGGGAGCCGCGGGAAGCTCACGGACCGTGAGCACTCGGCTACAAGTCCTCCGGCTGTCCGCGACCTGGTTTAGAGGGGCAGACATATGCGGGTTTCCGGGGCCTCCACCGAGAAAGCGAGAGTGTGAATGTCTGAAACAGGCCCGGGCCCGGGGAGGGATCAGGTGGGCCGCTGGGGCCGGGCCCTCCTCCTCTTGTCCCTCACCTCCCTCACTTCTCTTGCGAAACTAGCCGGCCTGTCCGAGCTTCACAGGACCCAGTCCACGCGAGCTGGTCTTCAGTCACTCTCCACTCTGCTCCAGCCAATGGGCACCTGCGGGAAACACGCGGAAATTATGAAACAGGCGAGAAGCGTCTGCTAACGGTGGAGCGCGTCCACGTGAGGGCGACGTGAGGCGTTAAGGCATGAGCCGGGTGAAGGCTGTCTTCCCCAAACAGGACGTCAACAGACACAGACACGCAGGTACCCATAAGCGTGTCTGTCAACAGAAACTGTTGCCTAAAACTGCCCACGCCACTTGTCCCAGCCAGAGCGTCCTTCTGCCAGATCAGAAAAGTAACCACAGCACGAGTGTCCACAGCGACGAAGCCGCCCCAAGCCCCAAACCACGAGGAGCATATCTGCAGTGGCCGTCCTGCCCTCTCCGTGCTGGCGAGCCTACAGTCTGCTTGTTCCTCTGGAAAGACCTGGGGTTCTGCTCAAATACCTGATCACCACGTCCAGAGGCAGGGAAAGAACTCAAACGCCCAGAGCCCGTACTGGCAGTTAAAACACCGGTGGCTAAGACAGTCGCTCTCCAGGCTGCGTCCGGCCATGCAGGCCGCGATCCACCACGGCAGACACAGCCTTCTGGGACAGACACTAACGTGTGCAGATCGCTCGGCCCCTCAGCACCCACACCTCCCTCCGTCTGTCCGTGTCTCAGAGTTTCCTTGGGGCTCGGGAACCAGTCCCCTGGTGGCCCTTACCCGTGGTGTCAAGGGTTGGAGGGTCTGGCGACGCTTCCCCGAAATCTCCCTCTCGATGGGTTACTGACGCAGACACCAGAACTAGGCTAAGGCGCGGAGGCTGACTGCGTCTCCACCAGGCGGGGCCCCTTGCTGCACCCTGCAAGCCTCGGCTCAGAAGCCACCTCTCGGCCGACACAGGGAGGCCCCGCAGAGCCACTCTCAACTCCCGCAGGCCCTGATGGTGCCTGAGCAATGCGCGTGCCCCTTCCCTCCAGGCGACAGAACCCCCTGGGAGGTGCGCGTGCCCCTTCCCTCCAGGCGACAGAAGCCCCTGGGAGGTGCGTGTGCCCAGCGGGGCGTATCTCTCAGGCACCTGCATGGTTCCCACCAACCCGATGGGGGCAGAGGAGCGGGGATCCTAGGTGGCGGGTTCCTTTAAGGGGTGGACTCGGCCTCACTGTTGTCTTGCCAGGAACACAGCTGCGATGGGAGAGGTGGAGCAGCCCTCTTGTAGCACAGAGGAGCATGGGACACCCAGGCCACACGCCGTGGCAGATGCTCAGGGCACCTCGGCGGCCACACCAGCCCTGGACTGCCCTCCTTGGGTCCGGTGGTGAGCAAAGTGAGTTCCCATCGGGCTGGCTGTTGGTTCTGAACAAGCACAAAATCACATACTTCTCACCCTCGTACCCTCAAATGCCGCTGCTGCCAGGGGAGACTAAGAGGGAAGGGAACCAGAAGTAAAACGTCAGGCCCTCACAGAACTTAATACCACGTATCAGGCTGTCGGCCCACAGGACCCCCGTCCAGATACCGCCCGGGAGAAAGGTGGCTGCCCCAGGAGAGCACGTGGGCAGGTCTGGCCGCAAGGACAGCGATGGGGACGCCCGCTCCCCATTCCCCCTGCGCCAAGCACCCAGGCCTGAGCGCGGCCTGCAGAGTCACGCTGGCCTGGTGCTCAGGCAGGGCCTCACAGCCCCTCTCTGCCGAGGCTGGGCAGCAGGGTCCAGGGGCACGAGTGAAGTTCAGCAGAGCTCCCGCCGCCCCTGCCCCACGGGATGTTCTCACAGGAACCGTCCCCTCGCCGCTGTGGGGACTCCGCCTGGGGGTCCTGGCTGGAGGCTGGAGGCCCTGTGCTCTGGGAGGTGGGAGGAGAGGGGGCTGCGAGGGGGGCTGGAAAGGGGGATCCGCTGGGGTCGCATGTCAGATCAGTGCCCAGAACGGAAGCCCACTCTTCACCTGGATGCCGAGGCTACACGCTGTGTCCTCCCCACTCCCACTCCTGAGTCATCGGCTGCAGGGCCGGGGCAGCGGGCTTTGCGGCCACATCCTCTGTAACAGTACAGGGTGAGCACTAACCATCCTAAGCGCTGGTTTCCAACAGCATTTCTCAGGAGACACGCATTTTCCACAGCCAGAAAAAAACCTTCCTTGCTAATTTATTAAACTGCTTTATAGCCTAGGTCTGACCAAAAGAGTTTATGATCGATATAAGTAATCTCTGTCTCTCTCTCTCTCTGTGTCTCTCTCAAACGGTCTTCCGCTGGGAAAAATATTGTTTTAATAACACAAACTGCAAAGCGGACTTCCCTAACACGTCCTCGGATGGAACATTTGCGGATACCCAGCTCCTCAACCAGAGACACGGCCCCGAGGGGCCCGCAGCGGCACCTCCCGAGGAGATAATATTTTCTATTCTGTGACAGCCGGCACAGGTTTAAAACACTGTGAGAGGCTGATCTAATTTAGAGCCTGGCTCCAGGGCTGTCACGAATAACAAGCCAAACGTTTCCATTTTATTTTCCGCTAACGGCGATCAGTTCCACTCAGAGTGGAAAGTAGGCTTTAAGGGGCCTGGCTTCTGCCCCGCGGAGCTGCCCAGGAGGGTCCTAACCGGTGACCTCCATGCCCCTCACCCGCTGACTCACATTTCTGTCCATCCCTCTGCCTCACGTTGACCTACTAGCGCCCCGCTGAAGGGGTTCACAAGTACGTCACCTGGGCCTCGCTCACCTGCCCCCCCGGCCCCCGCCCCCGTGCCCACGCCCCGCCCACCCGCCTGGCCCAGAGCTCAGGAGAACTTGCACCCGCATCTCCAGACCCACCTCTTGGCTCATCACACCCTGATTTTCACCAAGGGCACCAGCCCCCTGGAGGGGACTCCTGTCACCAGGGACCCAGCCGGCTGTGCACCCTCTATCCGGCTGCAGTGAAGCTGCCACCAGAGCTGGGAGGGGACGTTCTGATGGCATTCAGTCAGCCCTGCCCCCACTGCCCTTCCAGGTCACCCGAGCTGTTTCCTCTTCTGCATCAAGCAGCCAGGGTCAGTCAGGGTCACTCGTGTTCAAACATCCTTACCGATGAAGACACAAGAGGAGAGCGGAGGGGAGACGCCGCCCCATCACCAGCGTCCTCAGGAGGCCGCCTCACCATTGCCACCAGGAAGCACTCCTGCACTGCAGCCCCGCTCTGCCGCCCCCTCCATCGGACCCCAGTTGGGCCCTGAGCCAGTGGCCGCAGCGGGGACTCGGCGCCCTCAGACATGGGGAGCGAGCCCCTGGCCAGGCCCTGGCGTGAGGACACTGGTCCACGTGGAAAGGGCGAGCAGGGTTTCCAGTCTGCCGATGCGCCAACAAGGGCCTGGTGAGTCGTCCACACGTGCTTCAACAACTGGAAAAAAATCACAGAAGAACCAAGTCAAAGCACCTGATGTTGCCGCCGAGAGACGCAGGGTACTTGTGAGCACATGCGGCTCCACGTGCCTGACCCGAGCGGGCCAGCAACCGGGCCACAGCGGCCGCACGAGACCGAGGCAGAGGGCGCTTCAGTGACACGACACAATCCACGGTGACCGTGACATGGTGACTCTCCATGCAGCGACCCTGCCTCCTCCAGTGACGCTAACAGCAATGAACCGTGAGAATAAAACCTTTACCCGCGTCGTCAGTACCGTCTCAGAGAATCACCTACACCCTTAACAACTGAGCAGTTTGTGTCTCAACAAAGGAGCATACACTCCCAGGCTTTTACTGTGAATCGTTAATTTTGTGTACGGTTTTTTCTCAAAAGAGAATAATAGTCCCACAATTTAAGTGACTGACTTCGCAGTGTACCTGCCTCCAGATCTCTTGATGAACTGAGCCTCCTGGGTGACTAACGGACGTGTGTGTGTCGTATCATGACTCAGGAACATGCTATGTTTGCTTCTTGAGGCACGAGCAGCCATGAGAACAGAGACCCCGCAGGCGGATGCAGACGGAGGCCGGAATGCTCCTCCGGAGAGAACAGGGAAAGGATGGGTGTATGTGAGGATGGGGGCGGCGGACCCTGGGGTCTCAGAGACCTGTCTTGCGGCCCCCACGGCCTCGCTCTCGCATTCACCCTTTCTAGCCTCTGATTTCCAGCTACGAGGTTATCATTTGTATCTCATTCATTCATCCTATATGTATTTAATGAATTCCTACGGTCACTGCTGTGCATCTCGTGACAAACAAAAACACATGAGCTGACAGTCTAGTGGAAAAGACAAATAGGAAGTGAAGGACCCCATGAGGTGTGTAAGTGTCACCAAGGAAAAGGAGACCACAGAGTCATGCCCACCTGGTCCAGAAAGGACAGGGAAGGTCCCTTGGGGAATGACAGCAGAGCTGAGATGGGGGACCTCTGGGAGTGGCCAGGAAGGGGAGCAGGGAGGGTGTTCCAGGCAGAGGTGACAGCATGTGCAAAGGCCCTGGGGCTGGAGCAGGGATGGACAAGGAAGGAGGTACAGGCGAGGCTGAGATGGGCAGGCTGGGCCTTGGGCCTTACTTACTCAGGTGTGAGGGGAGCAGGGCAGGTCCCCAGCAGAAGGGGCAAAGGACGAGATGTGTTTCTTTAAAAGCTCATTCAGTCTGCCCCAGGAGTGCAGAGGGGGTGAGGGAACAACCGTGGAAGCCACTAGACCAGTCAGGGGGCTGTGCAGGCACCAGGCAAGACACGATGCTGTGTTCCCTTGGGGTGGAGGCTGTGGAGATGGGAAAAGCAGATGGATTCCAGGCAATCCAGGGGATTCTGGGCAAGAAACGAACAGGTTAGTGACGGGTCAGATACGAGGGGAGTGAAGGAGACAGAATATAAGGGATGAGTAAGTCGATGGACCGGGGTTCCGTTTACTAAGTCGGAAACGCCTAGGGAGTTCCGGAATGAAGGAACAGAGCTTGCTCCTGGCTCGCTGACTTTGCTGCACACGAGCGGCCTGCTGCGCACGTCAAGGGAATGCCGGGACGTACGCACGTGCAGCTAGAAGACAGGAAGGCCACACACACGTGGATTTCGGGTCCCTCAACGTGTGGGCCGTCTCGAAGGCCGGGGACCAGAGGAGAATCTGTGTGGGACACACAGGCCGAGGAGGGAGAGCTGGATGGGAAGACCGGGCGCACGTTGCAAAGCCATGTGTGAAGGGGGTGCACAGAGGGAGGGGTGGCCGGTGACGGTGTCAGGTCTGCGGGGCGGCCCAGGTGCGCACGGGGAGACGGATACGGTGACTCCCGGGCACCGGTGGCCTTGGCAGGATGCGCCTGCGTTGAGTGTGGAAAAGAACCGGAACAGAGTGGGTGCCCTGGCGAGGAGCACTTCGGATGAGGCCAGCCGTGAGCAGAGCTCCGCGGAAGCGTGCGGCCACAGGCAGGGCTAGCGAGCGGGACAGACTGGAAATGGAGGGTGATTCCTGCCGGGAAGCAGGGTTCAATTCAGGGGCCAACAGGCCGGGAAGGTGACAGACAATGAAGCGGGCAGGGCGGTGTGCAAATGGAGCGGTGCCTGCCGGCAGCTCCGGCCGTGGAAATGCAGGCCCAGTGCCGGCAGATCCATTGAGGGGTTTTTGTTTCTGTTTTAAAGCTGAGAATCCTGCAGGCCTAGCTGATTTTCCGGAGAAATGCACATCTGCAAGCAGCTGCCGGACAGCCCGATAAAGGGAGCAGGGGACCCAGGTCCCTGTGTGTCTGCAGTAGGTGGTGCTCAGGGGAGGAGGGGACCCAGTGTCCGTGTGTCTGCAGGAGGTGGCGCTCAGGGCTCTCCGTGCTGCTTGTGCGACAGCCACTTCTCAGCGAACTGCACCCCCGTTTCTGCCACTAGACCAGGGACTGCACTGGGTGGTCTGTGTTTATCCTCCCCCTTCACACTCACATTCTTCTCTTGCAAGTCCTTCCTCAAAGAGCCCTGAAGGCTCTTCCTCTGGGTCCCCGGAAACACGTGCTCGATGTCAAATGCCCTGAAAGCCACAGTGGCCTCACTGACACGGAGCAGGCTCTCAGCTCCGTGTTCCGGCGGGTCCACGGGAGATCCGTCTGCTCAGGGCTCCAAGGAACCTGCCAGGGGGAGACAGCACTTGGCCTCAAGTCACACTTGCCCACCAGGAAAATCATCTCTCCGCAGGATGTGTGTTCTTGGCGACACTGAAGACGTCCTGAAACGCTGGAGGGCAGCACAGCAGACTCCTGCACGAGCCAGCCGAGACCTCCCCGAGCCTGCTTGGCGGGTGTGTCGCCCGGGGGCATTTCGGATCTGCAGAGCCAGTCGGGGTCCTCCCTACGGACCCCGCCTCCCGTGGAGCTCCAGGGACAGTGACAGAAGCACGGCCTGGTGGTGACATACCCGAATCAGGAATGTGGCTCCACGCCTCACAGAACAGTTCCACTGCATTCTGACTTGATAACTTGGGGTGCTGACTGATGCTCAGACGGTCGGAAATGAGAAGATGTGAAAACACATGCATCTTCTCCTCTTTCTGATGAAATGCCAAGTTAAATCCCACTTTCAGTGGGAAGAGCAGACTCTTGGCTCATTACCCAGATGTAACTTGGCCGTGCCGGTCGGTTTAGCCCCATTTGTGACAAATACACTACTGAGACGGGTGGGTTCAAATACATTTCTGATGCTGAAGTCTGGAATCTCCCACGCTGTGAGGAAAGACAGAAGAAATTTTCCATTGGTTAAAAAAAAAAAAATCTCTCTAATAACTGCTGTCTCGCCTCCAGATCGCCTGCACCAGAAACGGGAGACTCCACCTTACTCCACGTTCTCCTCTGCTAACATCCTGTCTGAACTGTGACAGCCGGCAGCTTACTGGCCGGGGTGCGTGCAGGCCGCTTGCGCGGTCTGCAGAGGACGCTGGTCCCAGTGGCTGATCTAGATCTTAGCCTACGGGAAAGCCTCACTATTCCTGTTATGAAGTTTCCTGCTCCCAGACGATGAGAATTAAGAAGCTAACAAAGAAACTCCAGCAAGCAATGGTTTATAAATGCCTAAATTCACTATGCCCATCACCGCCACCAAAGAAAAGAAAAACGAGACTAACGTAGAAGAACGCATGTAACTGGCCAAAACGAGAACAGAATACGTTCCTCTAATGTTAATATGACAATTTCCTGCCATCTCTCAAAATAAAACTCAGGATAATAAAAAAGAAACTTTAAACGAGGCAAAAACATGACACCTAGGTTCTAAAGTCCACTGGCAACTGACTACAAATGGCAAATTCTGACATGTCTGTTTCAGAAGCCATCAGCCGCCTTGTCTGATGCCTGGCGGAGGGCGTGAGATAGGCTGCGTCTGCCTGCAGGGAGGGTCTGTAGGAGGCCTTCTCTGGGAGGTTCTACCAACACCTCCAGGGTGGAGAAGGGAGGGCCACCGGGACTATGGGAGGAGTAGCCCACAGCACACAGCTTTAGAAGGGACCCATGGAGATGGAGAAAGGTGGGTGGAGACCGGGAAAGTTTGGAGGTCAAGTCAACAGGTTAGAAGTGGGCTGTCTAGGAGGGAACCTCACCCAAATGGAAAACCTCAGCTCTGCATGAGCCCATGTGAAGAGGACGGAGAGACAAGCTACAGGCTGGAAGGAAACACTGGCAAACCGTACATCTGACAATGAAATAATGTCCGGAATACGTTAACAACTCTCAGAGTTAACCAGTGAAAATACAAACGATCCTATTAGAGAGTGCACAAACCACAGGAACAGACGTGTCACCAAAGAGGACGTATGAATGGCAAATAAACCCATGAAAAGATGCTCCACATCACTACCCATCAGGAAAATGCAAACGAAAACGACACATCTATCGGAATGGCTAAAATAGAAAGTTGCAAGTGAGAACAGCAAATACTTAGAAGGTGGGGAATCAGGTCAGTCACACGTTGCTGGCGGGAACGTGTCATGGTACAGCTGCCGTGGAAACCAGTTTGGCAGTTTCATATAAAACTACACCTACAACCACACGATCCCACGACTGCGCTCTTGGGCGTTTCTCCCAGAGAGAAGAAATGTTCCTACAGGAAACTGCACGTGAATGTTTCCAGCAGCTCTATTCATAACAGCCCCAAAATCCGAGACAGCCCTGCTGCCCTTCAACGGGTGAGTGGCCGAACAAACTACACCCGGGCCGTGGAACACTGTGCAATGATGGAAAGGAATGAATTGCTGACGTATGCAAAAATTTGGATGAATCTCCAGGGAATTATGCTCCAATGAGTGTCGTGGGGAGGAAAGGTCCTCAAGTATGGACCCAGGGAGGCTGGAACGGGAGATGGCAGTGAGAGTGACAGTCCTCATCGTCCTGAGTGCAGTCAACCATCTATGACTCGACCAGTGGCTGTGGTCTTCTCAGAGATGGGGACGGAAGGGTGACTACTATAGAGACAAAAGGGGTAGGGGCGCCTGGGTGGCGCAGTCGGTTGAGCGCCCGACTTCGGCTCAGGTCATGATCTCGCGAGGTCTCGCGTGATCTCGCGTGAGTTTGAGCCCCGCGTCGGGCTCTGGGCCGATGGCTCGGAGCCTGGAGCCTGTTTCCGATTCTGTGTCTCCCTCTCTCTCTGCCCCTCCCCCGTTCATGCTCTGTCTCTCTGTCCCAAAAATAAAATAAACGTTGAAAAAAAAAATTTAAAAAATAAAAAAAAATAAAATAAAATAAGAATAGTGAGGGGCGCCTGGGTGGCGCAGTCGGTTAAGCGTCCGACTTCAGCCAGGTCACGATCTTGCGGTCCGTGAGTTCGAGCCCCGCGTCGGGCTCTGGGCTGATGGCTCAGAGCCTGGAGCCTGTTTCCGATTCTGTGTCTCCCTCTCTCTCTGCCCCTCGCCCGTTCATGCTCTGTCTCTCTCTGTCCCCAAAATAAATAAACGTTGAAAAAAAAAAAGGGGGCACTTGCATAGATTTGGTGTCTGGATGTGGCAAGACATTAACAATCATCAGAGGGATGGAACGGAGTGCATGGAACGGAGTGCATGGAATGGAATGGGTGAAGTGAGTGGAAGGAGTGGGATGGAACAGAATGAACGTGTGGATGGAACTGCATTGAAGCTCCTTGCAAAACTTCTTCTTTAACTTCTCTTCTCTTTATCATGCATACTTGCCTTCTCCTCGGTAACTGTCTCAGTAAGATCACAACCTCAGAGTCAACAGGCGTTTCAGAAACACCCTGAACTGTAGCTGCAGTGACTGCAGATATGAAACAAACACAACTTTTGGGAGAAGGTTACTAAGTCAGCTAAAAAGAAACTTTTTTTTTTCAACGTTTATTTATTTTTGGGACAGAGAGAGACAGAGCATGAACGGGCGAGGGGCAGAGAGAGAGGGAGACACAGAATCGGAAACAGGCTCCAGGCTCTGAGCCATCAGCCCAGAGCCCGACGCGGGGCTCGAACTCACGGACCGCGAGATCGTGACCTGGCTGAAGTTGGACGCTTAACCGACTGCGCCACCCAGGTGCCCCGAAAAAAGAAACTTTTTAAAAAGCGCGCACACAGTTCACACCTACGTCATCAATTACTTGGGCATTTTCACCCGTTGAAAGAGAAATCTGCCGTACAAGGGAACTGAAGTTTTGATGCCAACGGGGCCAACCTTAACAGCCTAGTCTACGTTCCCAAAAGTGCTTCTCAGGTAGAGGGCATTGCTTCACTCGCCTCGGACCGTCAGACAAGGTCACTGAGAATTGGCCAATTTATCCCCATTCCCCCAAGAAAACATATTCTCCCGCCCCCAAACCACATCTTTTCTCTTCATTCACACATTCCTCGTTGCAGGGCCACCATATGAAATCTTCAACATGGCCTCAGATGCTCTTTACTCAACGTTAACACCCAGAGATCAGCCCTCGCTGCCGCTGGAGGGGCTTTTCCGCTACAGACGGAGAAAAGGAAGGAGCGCTTCCCCGTTCGGCCCACTGCGCACCGCACCCCTCCCCACCCCCCCACCCCGCCACCAAAAGCTCTCCTTGTGATCACAAGGAAAAACAACTGTCCTAAACGCAAAACCAAATCAGAGAAGGGAAAGTCACCCATCTGCACACGGCGTGGCTGGTGGCGAGGTAACAGCCTAACAAGTCCTGGGAGAGTGGGTGGTGATGCCTCCAGGGAAAGACGGTAACTACTTACAGGCATCGCAGGGTCTTTGAAATCCACTGCCTCAGCAACCCTTGAAAATAAAAGGGACATTATTACAAAATGGCAAAGGAAGGCATTCAGCTAGAAAATGGGTTTAAAACCTAATATTAAACTTCAAATCATTGAGCCAGTGATCCTTTTGGGTGAAATTTTCAATTCTATCACTGAACGCTACTCTATTTAAGACTCTGTTCTGGAACCTACGGGGATATCCAGAAAGATGAAATATAATCCCTTGGCCACAAATAACAGACAATTTAGTTAAGGTCCAGCAGAATGGCCCAGGAAGCTGACGGACAACAAAAAGAGTCCACACAACTGGGGACACAATCTCAGCAATCCCACATCACCATCTGTGTGACCTTGGGGAGACCACTTGTACCGCCAGAACTTTAATTTTCCTAATTCTAAAATGGTGTGACAAATAGTAGTGGTGGGTCGGGGAAGAATAAAAAATCTTTTTCTCCCCTACACCTCCCAGCTCCACCAGCTGGGCCTCGGGAACCAGACTGGCCACAGAGAAACGAGAGAAGCGCAAGCGGAAGTTTCCTCGCACGTCCACCAGAGCGTCCAGTGATGAGCAACTCCAAGGGCGGCTAGTCGCTGGGCTCACGCAACACGTAACTAAGAGATCAAGCTTTGGGAGAAGGACAAGGACTTCTGAGTTTCCAGGGCACCATATCGTGGGAAGGGAAACATACGGGGGAGCTACGGAAGATGAAGACAAGTCCGTGAGCCGTGTTCTGTAGATCCCGAGGCGCGATCCCTGGGCTGGCGAGGGCCCACGTGTGTCCCTGGAGATTAGCTCCTGTTCCTCCCAGCAGAAAGGAGACAAGAGACACCTCTCTGAGTCGATGTCCTCACTGTAGGCAAACAGGTGCAGAGCAGGGAGTTTTCTTTTGTATCTGCTTCTTCATAACTTCCTATCACGCCTTCAGCCCGAAATAATCCGCACGTGCCAGCGGCACCTCTTGGGGTGGCACATCTGAACGCACTTCAGGGGACGTCTGCTGTCCCGCTGCCCAGCTGCCCCGTTCTGCTGGTAAAGGCCCTCAGTTTCCCTCCAGGTGACCGCCCCTTCCCTTCCCTGCAGCCCACGTAAGTCGAAGTTGACTCCATCCGTGGCTGGGAAGCAACCCGTTACGTGGCCTGAGTTAACAGCGCGCTGTCTCCCTCAGGCCGCCGTGCCTGTTCGGGGATGAGTGCGTGACCCAGGCAAGTCCAGGAAGGAAGGTGCGACAACACTCGGACGGAATGCTGGCTCAGGGATGCGGTGCCGAGGGAGGAGGCCTGGGAAGGGAGAGACCGTGAGCCGCTCAGAACGGAGAGGCTTCCCATCAAGTGGACGTGGAGCGGAGCTGCGGCCGAAGCTCACGTACCCACAGGCCTTGCCAACCACACGTGCCAAAGAATGAGTCTGCCTTTGCTTCAGACACTTCAGGCTGGGTTTTCTGTCATTTACAACGCAATTAAAATATCCCACCTGGTACAGAAAAGCCGATGCAGAGCTGAGACGGCACTGACGGTATACAGTAGGTGTTGAATACACGACGACTGTGCCAATGTTCCTGCCACCTGGAATCATTTAACCCCTCCCCCGGTCACTCGGCCACCTGCTTCTTCTTTCCTCATCTGCACCCCTTGTGCCTCCCAGCTCAGTTGTCCAAAGCGGCCACTGAGATTTCCACCCATCCCGTGGGGGCGAGTCCCGTGCCCTGGCCGTCATCTGACATTGAACAAGGCCTGTGTTGCCCTCCTTCAACAACGGGTTTTCTCTGAAAGACAGCCTGGAACAGCCAGGATGCAGCCAGGATGCCCCAGTCACACAGTGAGGCCGTGCTGGTCCAGAGAGGCGGGGGGGCCGGGGGGGGGGCCCTCGCAGCACGCACCCCTGCCCCAGCACTGCGTCCTGACTCCTCCCACGCTTCCCGGATGGAGAACGGGCCTCCAGGAAGCGCGCAGGGGTGACCCAGGGGGAGAAGAGCCGGAGCCTCCCCTTCTCCGGCTGGGCCACTCCCTCATCAGGAGACGCAACCGAGGCAGGGCAGGGTAGAACCTAGGACACCGCGCATCCGAAGCCCCTCCCCCGGCCTGAGACCGCCTGGGAAAGGGCGGCGGAGACACGCAGCGCCGTGTAATACACACCAAAGACACGCGTCGGGACGAGATCTGACCGGGAGCCCCTTTTCCTCAGTGACTGCCCCCCCCCAGCCCCTCTGCCCCCCTACACGCGGTGCTCACGGCGGACAGGACGGCTGTTCCCTGCGTGGGAAAGGAGACTCTGCTGGTGACCTTGGGCTGCAGGCTGCGGGTCCAGGCCGGGCGGAGCCGCGACCGTCCGCGGCTTCAGACCGTGAGGCTGGTCCGCGAGGAGGCAACGACAACCTCACAGTCACACCGGTGCTTCCAACGCGTGCAAACGGGCTTCTTGTTCTATTGCCACGTCCCTGCTGTCGAGCATAACGACAGGCAGCATTTCTCGTGCGCTGATCGCGGGCCAGCGTCTGTCCCCACCGCCAGCCGAGCACAGAGGTGACGTCACCACCCATTTCTGGGACGGGGAAGTGACCAGAGAGGTCACACAGAGGAGCGGGACAGTGAGCCCCGTCCCGTCAGCCAGGCCAAGGGGCTCCAGACCGTCTGCACGGAGACGAGCCGCCACTGCGAGGCTGGAGGTCAGGAGCAGGTCCCGGCCCGACCTTGGGAGCCCCGGGGTGAGACGGATGCAGCCGGGGCCCCTATGTCACTGCGTGGAGGGCACCCCCACTGACCGTGCTGGACCCGGCACCGGTGAGAAGTAGACGCCTCGGTGCTCGGCCTCCGACAGGTGACGTGTTACTGCGGCAGCAAGGGGGCGGACGGTGGCGAGACTGACAATGACACGCTTCCTGTTTGGATCCCAGGCTCCGACGCAGACAGCAGGAGGGTGACACCGTCCACACACCAGCATGGGGGTGGCCAGCCGCCCTGTCACCCTTCTGGGAAGCCCCGCCCAAGTGGGCATCTTCATCCGCGCTCATCTGGCTTCGTGGAGAGTCCGTGTGCACATCTGGCCTTGGCCTGACTCCTGCCTGTCCCGCCCTGTCCCCAGGTCCTTCCTCTCCCCCCCACTCCGATTCTCCTGCGGTCTGTCTCTCCCCATTTCCCGCCCCCACACCCCGATTTTCCACACCCCGCTATTGTGCGGCTGAGGCTACCACGGCATCCACCCGGTCTCCACAGGCCAGGGGAGACAGTGTGTAGGCTGGAGCGAACCACGGTGGTTCTGGGGCAGGTCTCCTAGTGCGTCCCAGAGCTGCCCCTGGGGCGGCATGGGGACTTCTGGAACATTCTTTCCACTGTGCACCTGCTCCAGAAGCGCATCCCGTGGGGAGCCTGGAAGTCCTCAGAGAGGAGCAACCTTGACCCTGCCCATAGCTTTTTATGATTGGCTGAGCCGTCGTGCCAATCTTGTGCCACTTGCCCGGTGATTGGTCTAGGCCATCATGTGACCCAAGCCTGGCCAATGAACTGAGAGGGGCTGCAGGGGGATTCATGGGAAAGATTCCCCTGCTGGATGGGAGGGGAGGCGCCGCGTGCCTTGGGTTCCCCCCAATGACGCGGTGGGGGGAGGGGCGTGGTGCCGGTGTGGCCGCGGCCTTTTGGATGCAGAGCAGGAGGCCTGAGGCTTGCTGGGGACTGAGGCGTGTCCGCCAGACATGAGCAGGGCGGCAGAGCCAGACCCCCGCGGCCACCCGCCTCCAGGATGCCCGGCTTGGACGGTGGAGCTGTTCCATGGCCCACATGGGGAGACTGAGGCTGGCAGAGAGAGAGAGAAGCGACCCAAACCCAGGCTTCTCCGACTCCAGAGTCACGGGGCTCCTGTAGCTGAGGACGGTCCCTTGTAGCACTTGTCAGACTGTGGCGCATGTCCACGCCCTCAGCTAAGCCTCCTGAAATCCGTGCCTGTTGGTGGTCCTGCTTCCCGGAACCTCGTGTGCTCTGCGCACGATCGGACGAAACCCGGGAAGTCGGGCTCCTCCCTCCGCTTCCGGATGCGCGGACACGTGGTTTGTCCTGTGACTCGGATCTGTGCTCAGCAAGGAAAAGGAGATGAGTAAACGCTTGGAAAGTTCCTCCTCCTGTAGTGGGTGCCCTTGTGTGCCCTTACTCAGCAGGGACCCATTTAGTCTTTGGGAACCGCGGGACACTTGGGATTCTAATGCATCTGGACGGGGTCAGAAGAGGTGCAGGCTATGTGCCCCCCCCACCCCCCCCAGGACCTCTGCTGATAGGGTTTCCCTGAATCTGGCAGAGAACCACCGTCACCTCTGCCGGGCTGGAGGGCAAGGTGCCGCCGCTGCGGCAGGGCCTCCCTGGAGGGCCGCACGGTGCCCCCGATGCAACAGGCTGCTGAGCCCAGAGATGTTCTGCAGACGGAGGTTTGCCGTGACAGCTCCTAGAAACCACGGCAGCTCCTTCCCAAGTTACTAGAGCTGCAAACCGTGGTAAAGGTGGGATTTGTGTGAGGCTTTCGATCATAGAAACACAAATGGCATCTTGGTCTCAAAGTAACGACTCTCTGAATTCTAAATAAAGTGCAGGAGATTCACATTTTTCCCCCTGCGCCGACACTCTCTCTAGTCCTTCTGTCGCTTCTGTGAAAGAGAACAAATCCCACTTTTCACAGTGGAAGCCAAAAGACGGAAATCTCAAAGGGCGAAAGGAACGCATGCTGGTTTTGCCGGCAGGGGATCTGTTTCCGCCTCCAGACCAGCCTGTCTGATGCGCCCTCGGGGTGCCCTCCCTTCCGTGTGTTTTGGGTAAGCCTGACCCTGCCGCCGTCTCAGGGAGGTCACTGGTGACCCCGGCCTGGGCCTGTCAGCTGGTTGTACACCTTGTCCCGCCTCTGCCTCCCCAGTCACGGTGATTGGCTCCTGGAGACACACGGACCACCTTTGCCAAGAAAAGTCGGGCCTTCCCCCTTTATAGCAGCTGTCGGAGAAGAGAAATTCTCCGTTCTGCTGAGGCTGTTGAGAGGTGAAGCTGGGACTCGGGGGCAGCGGGCAGGCTTCCGAGGTTGCCCCGCCCATAACACAGCCGCCGGGAATGCAGGAGAATGTAAATAGAGCGAAGACTCCTTGGTAACGTCCTCGGAGCGCCTGGATGGAGCCGTCCCTAAAGTGACTTCTCCTTACCCCTCCTCTCTTACCTCAGTCCTTCTGGAGATGGATTTTCTGTCACTTGCAATTAAAAGAGCTGCGATTCCGTGTCAAGCGAGGCCCTCGAGTTCAGAACCTGAGCGAGGGCAGGCCGCGGTCGGGGACCCAGACCACTCACCCCCTAGCCCTGAACTTGCCCCGTTGTTCTATCTGTCAGTTCAGCAGACTTTCTGGCAGACGATTGCGTATGGAAACTCATAAGCCACAGCCCTTCTTTAAGAAGAGAAAGTGCACTGTCTCCTGAAAAAATTGTGGTGGAACCGGGGGGGCGGGGTGGATGGAGGGAACTGACCGAGCGAGGAGCCGCCCTGGAGCCCTGGAGCTTTCGCTGGGGTCTGGCGTGCATTGTTCCGGTTTGTCTGCATAGGTGCCGTGTGCTGGGTACCTCTCAAGCCTACCTCACTGATGCGGGGGGAGAAGGGAGAAGTGTCTCCCCACGTCCCACGGCCTATCCTGGTGGGAGGAGGATCTTCTGTAGGTCGGTCCACCTGCGGGGGGGGGGGGGGGACAGGGAGCAGCTCTGAAGCACCGCCCTGAGTGGGCAGGAAGGGGGCGTCCTCGGGCATCGTGAGGCCTGTCAGAGCCGGCGCGCAGGAGGCATGTGGTGAAATTCTTGATCAAAAGTATTCAGATGCACTAATGAACCCAGAGTAATCACCACCCCAAACTTTCTATAATCATCCATCAAGTACCCCTCAAAACCCCATAACAATCAGCAAGACAATATCCGTCTCAGTGTGTGTCCGTTAAGGTGCCAGTTTCTCCATCCTGGGGAACAGGTGTTCTAGAGAAACGGCTGTATTTATGAGGTTCATTAGGATGCCTCTCAGCCTGCGGCGCAGACGGTCCCCTCAGGAGAGCGCGGAGCGAGAAATGCTAGTGAGGGAGGCGGACGGAAGGAGCCCTGTCCTCCCAGAGACGGGCAGAGCTGGCCCGAGCCCACCCCCCACCCCTGTGCCCACTGACCAACGGCAGCTGTGAAGTACATCTCGATCTCGTCCGGGGTCAGGGCCCGTTCCCAGATGATGAACTCATCGAAAGCTCCGACCTCATAACGCTTGGTCTGGTCCTGCTCAGACCCGATCACGAGGTTGACGCTGGGCTCCCCGTAGGCATGAGACTCTTTGCCGCTTGGGTCGGAGGTGCCCAGGGACCCACTGACTAGACTCTCAGACAAACTGGAGGAGTCGGGGGATTTCCACGTGACTCCGGCAGGGGCTGGGAGAGAGAGACCTCCATTCGGAGGGTGTGGGAACCAGCTCCCCGTCCAGTCTTGTTTTCTCTTTTGAGCACATCCCTCTTTCTTCAGATACGTGGTCGCTGTTAACCTTGATGGGTCCTAACACACGTCTCACCTCACTTCTTTGGGCACAGGAAAGAGAGTGCCCTTTCCTCACATCCCACAGTCTCAAAGGGCAGTTCAAAGAGAATCCTGGCTCTTTTAACACAGAAGCGCAAACTCAAACGCCCGCAAACAAAGCTGATGCTCAAAATGTTTGACAGCTGGCAAGGCCCAGCACTGACAAGCCAGACCGCAGTCAGCAGGTCCATATTGCAGGGTTCAGAGCCTGGGGCACGGGAGCGGGAGAAGGTACACACCAGGATGTGGTTTCCATGGCCACCGGGATGTTGGGAAGGGGACTTGATTGACAAGGGGCAGCAGGGACTCGGCCCGCGAGCAGGGAAGGATAAACCCTGCATATCACATTTTATTCCCAGGAAAAGCTAAAAATTCATGGTTCTCAAGTGTGGCGTTTTCTAACTTATTACGCTTAGCGCTATTAAAAAAGAGCACTGCACAGGCCTACGGGGACACGAGAGCCCGCCTCCGGACGGTGTCAGTGCCCCACCAGGGATGCTGACCCCTGCTCCGCATGCCGTATAGTGCATGTGTCATCGGCGCACTGGTGCCAGGTAAGGCGAGGCCGGGGGTCGAGGCTGACATGTTTCCGGGTGGGGCGGGTGGTCCAGACCCTGGCGATTTGGCTGCAGAGTGTGTGTTTTTTTTTCCTACTAAGCAACCTGCCTCCCCCGCCTGAGCTGGAAGACGACTCTCCTTCCGTGTCAAAGAAGGCATCTCCTGTTGGCAGAAACCTTTGGACCCCCGCCTGCGCTCCTCACTCTTGCTTCCAAATGTGACTCCCTGGAAGCCCCCCTGCATCACCTCTCAATCCCTGGCAGCCTCCCCCCTCCACCGTTTCCATTGGGACCTTCCCCGGCCTCCAGGCCTCCTGCCTGCCTCTCCGACCTCCAGCCCTGCAGGGGGCCTGGCCCCACCTCACGGAGAGAGCAGACCAGCAGTTGGATCTGCCCTCCCTGTGAGCAGCTTCCTGAGCACCAGCTGTCAGGTGTAAACTGGTCCCAGGGGTGCCTGGGTGGCTCGGTTGGGCGTCCGACTTCGGCTCAGGTCATGATCTCACGGTTCGTGAGTTCGAGTCCCGCGTCGGGCTCTGTGCTGACAGCTCAGAGCCTGGAGCCTGTTTCAGATTCTGTGTCTCCCTCTCTCTCTGACCCTCCTCCGTTCATGCTCTGTCTCTCTCTGTCTCAAAAATAAATACACATAAAAAAAAATTAAAAAAAATAAAAACAAAAATAAACTGGTCGCACTCGGGAGCCGTCGTGCTGACGACACTTACCCAGCAGCACCCCCCCCTTTCCTCCCCCCGCACTTTACTGCCCAGCTCCTTGCAGGTGGATGTTCCCATGGTGCCCCTCTCAGTCCCCTGAAATGTGGTCTCTGCCTCCCCCACCCGCCCCCTTGCCCCTGGGATCAGTCTACCATGGTCTGCCTTGTTCCTAAATCCAGCGAGGTCTTCAGGTTCGAGCATGTGGTTCCCTGGCTGAGAACTTGACCACCGTCCCATCTAACGGCAGGTCCCGTGGGTCCACCTGCTGGTGTTTCTGTCGGTCAGCTTCAGCCCTTCTGCCGCCACCCTGGGGAGAACCAGCGTCGTCTCTGGCCTAAGTCATTGCAACAGCCTCGGCTCGGTGCTTTCCCAACATCCAGGTGCTTATGAATCACCGGGAGCGTGTGCCGAGGAGGTTCGGACTCGGTACTTTTGGGGAGGCCGTCCGGGGGCCATCCTTGCGGTCGCCCCACCCCATGGTGAGACCAGTGCCGTTTGTCCGGGATGCAGGTTGAGGAATCACAGCCACGCCCACCACCATCGCAGCCAGAGAGGGACTTCTCTGCCTGTCTACACAGGGTCCCGGCCACCTCTGCGTACACACCCCCCACGCCTCCCACAGAGGTCCCCACAGACCTCGAAAGGCAGCACTTCTGCTGGCTTACGTCATGGGCCTCCCCCCGCAAAGCTGCTGGTGTGTGTGTGGTGTGGGGCTGCTCCACACACGTGCCCTGCCCTCCAGGGCCTCCTGCACATGCTTCCCTGCGCCTGGCACTTCCCTCCCTCCCTCCCTCCCTCCGTGCGGCCGACCCCTGGCTGGGCTGTCCTCCTCTGGGAAGCCTTCGCTGGGCCTCGCACGCACCGGGTCAGGCACCCCTCATTCCCGTCCAGCGCGGCATCCATCACGTGGCACCGTCTCACTGTCCGTAGGCCCTGAGCTCCTTCAGAGGTGCCCCCCTGCGGTGGCTCGGTGACGAGGGGGTGGGAGGAGAGTGGACACCCTCCCAGGACATCTCTCGTCCTTGTCTTCACCCTTCCCCTGGGACCAGAGTGTAGCTCTGGGGCCAGGTCCGTCTTTCCCTGGGAGACATGCCCTTGGCAGTTTGAGCAGAAAATGAAATTTGTCAACAGATGCAGAAGCCTCTCACGCTGCCCTGCCTGCGGGCTCAGGCTCCTGGGCTCAGAGCCATACCCGTGACTGCCATCAGAGCTGAGTGCCGTGAAGTACGTCGTCTCAGGCCGGTCACACTCAGGCCCCCTGAGCTCACGTGAAGACGGGGGGCGTTAAGCGCTTCTGAAAGAGGGATGTGAGATCCACAGAGTCTGTTTCCCCTCTGCTTATGGCTTCGTCTGTCGATCATTATCTGAGCGCCTACTGGGTGCTGGGAACGAAGCAGAGGGGTCTGATCTTGT